CAAGCATATTCTGCTTCAATCACTGTGTATGTGGGCGTGCAATATTTTTCACAGATTGCCCTCAAAACTCATCGCTACTTATGTGATAATATTTGGAGGCAGAAGTTATTGCTAGAAGAAATGCYGTTCTTCAGTATTCTGGAGTCATTCCTTAGGTTGCCATTTTTTCATAGCACTTCATGAACGGATGCAGGAGTAGAAAATACCACCACATGGGGGTTCTGCTGCTGTGTCTCCTAAACTGAAGCTCTCTAAACTCATCAGCCCCTTGCCTTCTTTTGGTGCTCATCCTAAGTGCTAGAGTTTAAATGTGGCTGGGGTTTCACCACCACGCTCATCACTGTCTTTGGACATCCTGAGCAYGAGGGAAGCAACAATGAGGATTTCCTATGCAAAGACAGAAATCGTTAAATTCTAAAGCCTTTGTGAAGAGATGATTGTTTTTCCTTCTCTGAACAGGACACAAAACTTTGTGCRCAGAGTGTTCCTGTTGTTAGCAATTAATGTTACAGTTACCAGTAWGGTCATGTGGGAACTATTCAGTGGGACCACTGACGCATGTAAAGYTGCTGGCGAACAGAGCTGTTCCCTATGTGAGGGCAGTGGAGGCTGAAAGACAAAAAAACTGCTTCAACCTAACAGTGATATACAGATTCCTTGGGCTTTTTGTCAGTAGTTTACCTCAGACACAAGGTGTTCCAAGGACCATGAAAACACAAGGAGTATCTCAGARTAAAACACCTTCATTTTGAGTAGTAAAATGAAAGGCTGTACATATTGTCAGCTGGCTGTGTCCAACAGGCTATTCAGCTATAAATTTGAACCATGTTATAGGCACTTAAATAGYGTCCAAAAGTCCAAATAAAATACGAACAAGAGAAGCCTGGTGTTTGAATTAATCTAGAGACAGCAGTGGAAAGCCYGCTTGCCTGCACCAGGGCTTGCAGAAGAGCTTCTTTGAATACAACTCTGTCAGCATATCCACCTCATGGATATTGAACTCCCTTCTGCTTTGGGTTGGTTGTTTTTGCTAATTGAGCTGCTTTACTTCCTGGATCAGCTAAAAAGGGGGAAAAAAACAAGTCTCTGGGCAGTTGTTTTGCTATGCTGGGTAATGCTGGGTCCCCCACTTTGGTTATACCAACAAAACACTGGACTGCATCCCTCTCATGGAGGGAAGCACTGCTCCTGTGGATTCATCTGCAGAATCAGGAATAATTTTCCAACAATCATGCACAGGTCAGGCATTTACAGAAAGGCAGAACTGATACATGAGAGGTGGTGAGAGGGAGATTTGCATAATAAGGGATAAGGCTCTTTTCTGTAATAAATGTACTGAATGGGGATATCTGTTACATATTGACTGAATGGCCTGGAAAAAAAAGCTCTTATTACAGGTTTTTTGGGGTTGGTTGTTTTTTTGGTTTTGTTTTTTTTTTTTTTTTTTTTTTTTTTTTTTTTTTTATTTTTTTTTTTTTTTTTTCCAGTTAATCAACTTATACTTAATTTGTCATGGTTCCAGCCTTAGATTTTGTCTAGTGATAACGAATTAGCCCATTTGGTCTGAAAGACACATGCAACAGATAAGAAGAGAATTAGCAGCTGGCCCACTTTCAGGCCCATTCAGCTGAGGCAGAGATATTGACTGATAAATCTCTTCGGATAGTGAGTTTGTCACAGCACCACTCCCTTGCAAGGGGTTCCCACTGTTATGTTCTAGTTGAGACCACTGTAAAAAACCACTTGACAGGTTCCTTTCAAAAAGCAATACTTTTGCATGGCTTTCAGAGATACTTTTAACATGTTTGCCTTTGGGAATGTGACTCATAAACCCATTTTAGACATCCAGCCCTTCACAGRTTAAGTAACGTGGCACTGACTTAGTGTTCCCAGGGCACACAAGCTGGACTCCTAACACCCAATGTGCTCTTTGGAAGGAGACTTCGACCATTTAAGGTCCAGCTGTTTATGAAATGCTCTCTTATCTCTCTGATTATACTCCTGGCTACAGTTCTGATTTCRGTATGTGAGGAAAGTGTGATTCACAGCCACAAAAGCTTTGTGCAGTCTTCAGTGTTTTGAGAATACCGGACCGCCTGGTGCTTTTCTTTAAGAACTCAGAAGAGAGAAGTGTTGACCACTTATTTAGGAGTCGTGTGGTTAGAACTTGCTCAGGAAGCTGGAAATCTGTGTTTGACACATTTTGTAGTCTTAAGGGATTCAAATTATCCTCTTTTGCCGTAGAACATGTACGTCCCCCACCACCAYAGCTTTTGAAGTAGGGCTATGACTCAGAGAGGAGTGCAGGAACTTTGAAGCCAAAGAGGAGAAAAGTTTTCCATTGAGTGATGCTTCACAATCCTGAAGTAGGAATGCTCCACTCCCAGGGAAACCTACAGCCTAAGASATAGGGCACTAGTCTGAGAGATAGAAGCCACCAGTTTATCCCCTTCCTGGTGAGATGAAGGTCTCCTATTTGAGAATGAAACACAGAAGAAAGAAAATTAGATTCTATTGCATCCTTTCTCAAACAATTCTCCTRGCCTAACACATGAGATAAATGAGGCTAGTAACCAAATTTTATAAATTCTGTAGAAATAAATGTATCAGGAATATGAAGCTGTAGGCTCACAAACCTTCTTAAACACTTTTCAACTCTTTTCTGGCATGGTTGTCAAT